CGGTCGCTAGGCGACCCGCGCCGGGCTGGTTTGCTGCTTTTTTTTTTCAAGAGCACCCCCAGCAGCCATTGAAACGACGAGCAGGACGCGAGAGCTGATCTCGATGCAGCTGGCAGGGCAAGACGGGATTTTTTTTGGGGGGGGGGAGAAGAGAAGACGAAAGTCCTTCGCTCCTGCCCGACCAAGATGATGCATGCATCAGTTCTGACTCTGCAGAACTCAGGAGCAAGGCGAATTAAAAAAAAACATAACGAAATAAAATCATGCAAAGGCGATAGCGGGCCAGGGAAGAGCGGGACCCCCCCCGCAAAACACAATCTGGATAGTTTGCAGACTCCCGTCCCTGCAGGGGAAAAGAGCTCACAGTGCCATCGCCCCCGCCGTCGCCAGCAGCCCGGCCGAGCCTCCCGATCCCCGGCGGCGCTGTTGAATTCGGGCCACCGGCGGTGGGATCAAAGGAGGAAGGCGTGCGCCAGGAGAGCCGCCCGCGACACCGACGCCGCCGCGGCTGCTGCTGCTGCTGCTGCGCCGCCTGGTCGAGCAGAGGCGCAGCTCCTGGAAGGCTGGATGAATGGCGAAGGGGGAGCGTCGCGCTCGTTTTGCCCCCTGCTGGCGAGGAGCGAGAACTACAACGCCAGGGAGGACGCAAAAGTGCCTAAGCGTCTAGAGTTCACAGAATCATGGAGTTGGAAGGGGCCCTATAATGTCCCAGTATTAAGTATAGGGGTGGGGTGGGGGGAGAAGGCTGAGGCTCAGAGACAGAGGCCTGCCAGGATAGGATGTGTGGTTAGTGTGGAGAGAACCAGTATGGTGGAGTGCAGTGGTTCCCAAACTTTGGGTGACCCTGATGTTCTTGGACTGCAACTCCCAGAAACTCTGACCAGTACAGCTGGTGGTGAAAGCTTCTGGGAATTGCAGTCCAGAAACACCGGGTCATCCAACACTGGGTACCACTGGTGTAGTGGATAGAGGATCAGATTAGGGCTCAGAACTCTGCGGAGACCTGGGTTCAAATCTGCCCTTGATCATGGAAACTCACTAGAGATGGGAGTGGTAAGCCACCTTAGCTCAAAAAGCCTATTGTGGTCACAGTAAACTGAAAGTGACTTGACTGCACATAGCTACAACAGCTGGATGACTCCATGATCTGGAACATCCATGACAGAGCAAGAAATAGTGTTTTCAAGGGTTTATTCCAGTGGTTCCCAGCCTTGAGTCTCCAGATGTTCTTGGACCAAAACTCCCACCACCCACTGTGCTGGCCAGGATTTGTAGAGAGTTGTAGTCCAAAAACATCTGGGGACCCAAGGTTGGGAACCGCTGGTTTATGGTGATGTTGCACTGTGTGGTATGGGGAGAAAATAAAACAGAAGCAAAGCTTGGAAAAATGTTTGGCTCTCTGTGTGTGCTCTTAGCTAAGGGCACAAGGCAAAAATTAACCTTTACAATGTTGTTTAACAAAACATTAGGCTATTACATATGGCATGGGGTATTTAATGCATCTCATTATGCTATTTTGGTATCATTTCAGAAATATAGTTTAGGCAGTTAAGAGCTAGCAAACATTTATTGCTTCTAGTCACTTTTCTCAAGCTTGTGTCAGCAAAGCAATTCAAAGACTAGGCAACCTGTCTACCACCTTAAGGGAATGGCTAGCTAGGATTTAGTCGTGTAGTAAGCTTATAAGTAGGACTTTAAATGCCTTTCTGGACCAAAGCCAAAAGGTGTAACCTTGACCCTGCTTCAGGTAATGGACCTGTGCCGTAGACATGCACAGATTTCTGCATGTTCAGCAGTTTATGGTTTCTTAACAAGGAATGCTCATGCTATTCCAAATGGACAATAAGGGAAGTTCTTAATCTAGAAAAGAATGTGAACTATTAGACAAAACTGCACTGTAACACCATTTAAAACAAGATATTTCATCCAATTTAATTGATTAACGAAATCAGCTCAATCGTTAGTAATTTGCCTATGAGTAAAACACTCATAATAAAGGGGGGGGGAGGAAGCACAATGCAATTCTGAAACTCAAAAGCCAGCAGCACATAAAGGCAGCATTATGGTAAATCATCTTGGAATGGCTGCGTATTAAAAGCCAGCCTGAAGACCTGCACTGTAGTTAGAGGTCATGTATAGAATAGGTGGTAGGGAGCTCTGGACAACATGAAGATTCCATCTGTTTGTGCCCAACTAATCTTAATGGGAGACATGAGCCAAGCCGAGCTGAGCCACTGAATTTGATCTCAAGGTCCTGTAAGTGAAGGTCCTTTAATAGCTTCACCTCCAGCTAATTGCAGTGTCAAGCTTAACATCAGCAACATGAACCAAGACCAGAAAAAGCTCCATTGGTGATCCATTTCTAGGCAGAAGTGCTGGTTTTAACCTATAAAAATGGACCTAAATATGGTCCATGATGTCTCCAAGAAAGCATCCCCCTTCATGAGCTTTTCTGGGTGACCAAAAAGCCCTTTTCTCAGTCCCACCATCCTAGTGGAGACACAGGAGAGGGCTTTCTCGGTTGCTGCTCCTAGACTCTGGAACTCCTTCTGGGTGACCACCTTTTTCTCAGTCCCACCATCCTAGTGGAGACACAGGAGAGGGCTTTCTCGGTTGCTGCTCCTAGACTCTGGAACTCCTTCCCAGAGGAGGCCAGGCTGGCCCCATGTTATGTTTCCTTTTGTAAGTTTTTTTTTTGTTGTTGAGATTTTGATATGAAAATGTATTAAATATTAATGTTGTATAGTTAAATGTAAAATGGCTGATTTTACCTGAGTCACTGTACTGATTGTATTCAGGTGTGGG